GTCCACTCCTCTTCAATGGCTGTGCGAAGTTGCTGGATATTGGCAGGAACTGGAACACGCTGTCGTATACGCCGACCCAGAGCAGCCCAAACATGCTCAATAGGTGACATGTCCGGTGAGCAGTATAGTAGTATAGTAGTATAATTATTACTTATAAAGCCCTGAATTGTTTAGCACCTCAGTATTCGAACGAGCTCTTGTTACATTATAGTACTTCACGTATGGTGGTAAGTGGACGATGATCTGTTAGTAATGTGAAATGACGTACATATAGATAAGGGTGAAACTTCCTTACTCCGAAAATGATTCCTAGTGCTTCTCGCTCTAGTTGTGCGTAATTTTGTTCTGACACTGCAACCACCACAACAACCAACACGGGAGTGCACTCTAGTGGCCATCAGGTATTATAACATCAACTCAAATACATTACAGTTTTATCACTGAATCATTCATTCAATTGATTCGTTTGAACGGCGGATTCATTCATGAATGAAGCAAGTGACCGTCTTTATGAATGGGTAAACAGGCTACAGCGCGCGCCGGTGTTCTGACAAATAATGCTACCTATCAGATTATGCTACCAACACTATATTTATCCTACTGTAAGAGTAGGTTTAGGGTTGGGGTATGTGTACATGTGAATAAAGCCTCACACCTTATTAATGCTGGAAGCAAAATCTGATAAGTAGCACTTTTCGCTATCGAATTATGCTACCATTTTTTAGTTCATCTCATGAAAAATGGGGGCAAAAACAAAAGTGTTGCGTTTATAATTTTGTTCAGTGTATGTAGTATTATAGTTTCAGATTTCCGGGGCAGATGATGAATGAATTAGATGAGACAACCAGTAGCTTGACCTTACCATTCCTACTGAAAGTCATGTTGCAAGCCATCCATTTTTACAGTTGTTTCAACAAGAGGTTGAAAGTCATGCATTGTTACTGTATTCATTTGTATCCAGCTGACTATATGTACACACTCAAGGAATAAAGCCCTACTATACATTATTAAATGTTCTTGTTTTATGTGAGAATTAAAAGATTCAAAGACATTTGCTACAGTTGATGTATAAGTTCCCTTTCGAACGGTCTCTCCCATTGCGTCGCTGACACTTTGGGGAAACTATTAAAGGGGTCATATGATGCAATTTAAAATTTTCCTTTCTCTTTGGAGTGTTACAAGCTCTTGGTGGA